AAAGTCTGGCACAACGGCTTGATTTACAAGCTGTTCTCACTCAAAGTGCCAGACAGGCTTGTACACACCATTCAGGCCTTCTTGTCGAACCGTTCCTTTCGATATCGAGTTGAAGATGCCCTCTCCACAAGCCGCCGCCTCACGGCTGGCGTTCCACAAGGCTCCTGCCTCTCACCCTTACTTTTTACGATCTACACGAGCGATATACCAAAAGACCCCCACGTCAATCTCGCGCTTTTCGCGGATGACACGGCGCTCTTTTATTCAGACCGCAACCTTAGTCAACTAACCACTCGACTCCAAAGCGCCGCCAATCGCCTCGGCGATTGGTTCCGCAAATGGAGAATTGAAGTAAATCCCGAAAAGAGTGTGGCCATTCACTTCACACGAAGTACTTACCCGTCACATCTTTATAAAGGTCGTCGCCAATGCAGAAAGCTAGGGCAAATATCTCTTTATGGCCAACCGCTCCCCTGGGAGAAAAAGGTAAAATATTTAGGAGTCGCTTTCGACTCGCGTATGACATTCACAGCGCATATTAATAACGTCCGTAACAGAGCCGCGTTCGTCTCCGGCCGGCTAAGCACTTTTTTTTTTTTTTATGCGAAAAGTTGTCAAACGAGCAGACGGTTCACCTGATGTTAAGTGAATACCGCCGCCCATGGACATCTGCTACACTCGAGGGTTACAGATGCGTTGACAACGTTTTGAAAATTGGGCTCCGGCTACCTCACTCACCAGACGAAACGCGAAAGTATTTGTCATACTTCCACTTTACGCCGGTCTTCTGTGAGGTCGTGGTACTTACCCGGACGGGTCTGCCCATTCGTCCAACAGCCGAGGCTGCTGCGTGGCCCTACCACCGTAAACTAACCACTAACCAACTAAACTACTTTAACTAACCAGTCAAGTAAAATGTCCTTAAGACACAAATTACTTTTATACAAAGCTTGCGTACGGCCAATCATGTCCTACGCATGCATGATTTTCGCCCACACGCACCCTACTCGCTTGCACAAGTTGCAAGTAGTGCAAAATAAGTTCATCCGCCGCGCAACCGGTGCACAGTGGTATCAACGCAACGTCGACCTGCACAGTGATTGCAGACTCCCGATGATTCGCGAATTTTTCAAAGACCTGACCAAACGGTTCTTCGATAGAGCCGAACATCATCCCAACCCTCTGGTGGTAAGCGCAGCAAATTACCAAACCGATCTAAACGCGAGCGCCAACAAGCGTCGCCCGCGAAACGTCCTCATCGACCCGGTCGAGGAAGGGGACTTAGGTACGTCGGACCCACCGTCGGGGGTCCCGCCGGATAACACTACACACACAGTTAGTGTAGCAACAAACACATTAGTTCGTCCTCGCCTCCGAGCACGGCGAGACCAACACAACGCGTACACAAGGTACACCTGCGTTCCAGGGCGGTTCTCACCGCCCCCAGCCACCGATTAGCTAAAAACACAGTCGACGGCCATCGGGGTCTCGGTCCGCACCGCTACTTCGATGGCCCTTAGATGACATGCCGTAGTTAAACGCACGCATGAGCACATGCGCGGCCCTACCCACAGCGGAGGGCCCAAACTCGTGGGTTCTGGCTAGCCCACCGGTTCTGCGTCAGATGAAGCTTTAATAGTCTCTGGACTGAAAGCACAAACATCAGTTAATACAAGATACAAGATTGTATATATCAAACGTTTTCCAGAGTCCGATCTACACAGAAAAAGCGTCCAATGTTGAGCTTGTTTGTTGTAAGCTTTTTGTGCTCGGATCGGAAAAAATCAATCACATGAAAAGTTGATAGTGGCGTGGGTTACCTACCTAAACTGTGACAGACCTGTGACCATTTATTCTGTAAAGTGTTGGAAGCGTTAGAAATTTAAAAACAAATTAATCGCTTTTAAATCTTTAAAATTAAAATGTTAAAATATTCACTCTTATCATTTTCATAACGTGCCAAAAGGACTGTACTGCAAAAAATCAAATATGTTTTCGCGTTTATCTTTATTTTTTCTCCATCCACGTTTCGAATACTTTGTAACATCCGGAATTACTGGACAATCTCGAGTATTTGTCGTTCTAATGTCAACTCGAACTACTCTGAAATGAGCACATCAAACAGTCTTCGTGTCTATGGATGCTCTTATGTATTCGATACGACGGAAATAGTTATTTACGGAGTTAAACGCGAAGTTGTTTAAAAAGTATTTAATTTAAGAATAATGAACAGTCTTGTAAACACAAGAATAAATTTTTAGCTGAGGAATCTATGAAAAAGTACAAGTTTCGCGGTTCAATATGCCTTAAACTAAACGTCCCTTCTATTCTTGAGACTGTTTGTCGTTGGCTTTATTGATACACAAGATACATACTTTATAGTGTTATTGACATTTCCAAGGGCTGTTACAAATGGATTCAAGGATATATTAAACAAAATGAGAAAAGGAACATTTTATTTAGCAGTAATATATCACGTGCGAACTTGATTTTATTTATTTATTGATACTTTATGCTTGTGCACAGTACAAAGGCGGACTTAGTGCCAAAGGCATTATCTACCAGTCAACCTTGGGGTGGTACTGAAAAGATTAGGTTGGTGCCACAAAGATGTCAAAAAAAAAGAAAACGCTGATACAGTAGAATCCGCTTATTATGACTCCGCCTATATTGACCAACCGTTTAATATGACGTAATTACACTACGAAGTTTGGTTTTCATATAAAATTCTTTAAAAAAAAGTCGGATATAATGACTTCTCTTACAGTGACATGTTGCTTATTATGACCCAATTTTAATAAATTATGTCCGGTTATAATGACCGACATGGTTCTTTACACCTTCGGTAATGTTCGTTGATACCCGACGAAGTTCGGCATGTAGCTCGTTTTTGTTTTGAATCTCAGCGAGTAATTGACACTTAATTAAGGTCACGCATTGTTTTTCGTTTGTCGTTTGTGTTTTTCATTGATTTAATATGTATGTATGTATATACATACTGTGTTTCTCTATTAAAATACTTAAGTACATATTTACATAAAGTTTTTTTTTTTCACAAAACGGTTTGAATGACGTCCGCTTATTATGACGTGCTTTTCAATCCCTTTCGATGTCATAATAAACGGATTCTAATTTATTTACAAACTATGTTATAAATAAATGTACATGCATATTTTAATTAAAGTACAAATATAATAAATACTACGTTACGTCACGTGCTTTTTTTAAAACACAGAGTGACTTTTAGCCAACCTGATTTTAAGAGGTAGTGCATTCTACAGAAGGATGGACTGGATAGATCTTTCTTTAAAGAAGATTGCATGAAGTGAGAACGGTGAGAGGGACATACGAAAAGACGATTATGGGAGGAGCGAAGGTTTTTATTGCTGACAGTACATAGATGTTCTTGTTAGTTATGTTGCCAGAGTCATTCCTTTCTTTCTTTCATCAGACATCAGTGCCATAAATGGAACAAGCAGCAGCTTGTGCTGTTGCACTTGTATGGGCATGCTTCTCCAAGAAGTACCTACTATGGCCGCAAAACAGACCAGGGTGAAGTAGATATATGACATCGCGTTTAAACTGCCTAATGAGAAAACCGAGTCGCACTTTTTAAATTCGTGCACTAGTGATAATTTTTAGGAAAACTTGATAAATGTTTGCGCGTATCGAAAGCTCCGAAAATCGTACGATGAACAGATCTTAAGAAACTGTATAGACAACATACGCGTAAATGTTATTACATATTGAGGAATCGTGATTCAACGCCAAGGACGCACGGAATCAAGATGAAGTTAGGAAACGTACCAAAAATGTGCATCGTCAAAAGCAGGTTAATCTTTACTTCTACAATAACAACCAGCAGAAATCTGTAGTACTTTACGACACCTGGCATATAGAAGAGGCTAGTTCTAGAAGAAGCTTTAAATATTTCTAGAGTATGAGAGCTCAACGTCATACAACTAAGACGAATAATTTCAAGTCGATTTTTGTCTCATTATCAACGAAGCTCTGGCACTAAACAAACCATTACTCATGGAATTAAAAATGTAGTAATAAAAAAAAACACAGTGAGACAACCCTATAATAGGGAGTGCAGTGTACCCAATCGTGCTGGCGACTGCGTGACCGGGTCTCACGATGCCGTAACATTTCTAACATTTTATCGCGACCGCAAAATGTGAACTGCTAATAATCTCGTCTTATATACTATTGTATGCACATTATGCCCGCAAGTGACAGTTGAGTGAGCTGACTGTTCACAAATGGTAGTTTTATGATCGTATCGAGGTGCTGAGACTGTCTACAAATCGGGATTTTATCGACGCATTGTGGTAAGAGTCGATATAATATATCATAGACAGATAGGATGGTAAGCTATAATTTCATAATTGTTTGTTGGATAAACTAATACTTTTTGAATTGGTATTACAATTCGTAGGTCAATTGGATTCGACCGTAAACAATAAATCTCGAAACATAGTTTTCCGGACACAAAGCTACAAGTCACGAACGGAACGTAACCGGTAACACTGTATATATAAATTAAAAACACACATATATGTGTTATTTTAATTAAAGGAAAATAAAGAATTACAATCAACTATATTATCTAAGAATGAATAGCTTAATAATAGTACATTACGTATTCTATTTTAAAACAATAAATATGTCAGTCTAGGTATCAAGTAAAAGTAATAAAAATAAATCTAGGAAAGAAAATGTACAATACAATTGCATAGATTTTCTTCATAAGTCTATAATTAAAGAAGATGACGTGGATCTTTGTTATACATATACAAACCCATTAAAGAAAAACAACGATCCTTTGTGATCTAAATTACTATAAAGAATTCAATAAGAAACAATACGTATATAATGTGGCAAATTCAATACTGCATAGACCGTATACACGACAGAATAGTTTGAATTTAGTATTCTAAAAGGCAACCTCTTAATATTGGAACCTGCAAATCATGTCGTTTAGTAAAGTTAATTTAAGCAGCCTTAGCATGGCCGCGTTTATTTTTCACCATCATTCGCCTGAGGATCGAGTAGCTTATCCAGAACACCAGATACAGCTTGGAATCGGATGTGACGATCATATAAGTCGCCAAGACTGCCACAAGGATCCCCAGAGCGTTGAAGAAAAGGCGAGTCGAAGCACGTCTGCTCTCCTTCCTACAGGGACACCCCGGTGGACATACCGGTGGATTCTTGCACGGACAGTTTGGTTCACATTTGTGTTGTAGTAAGTTTTCTGAAATACAAAGCAACATAATGTTGTGTAGTAACAATCTTACACATTCCAAATGTCACGACCAGTCTAATGCAAATTGGATATTACATAAAGTGTAGCTGTAACTCTTTCATTATCAATCCGATGTTAAATCACATTTTATACAGGTTAAAAAAATCTCAAATATAACTAAACATGTCATTCGCCGATCGCTCTCCTGACATAAATGTCTCTTCATTTGTTTATATTATCTTATGTAATTTTATTAATAGTTGTAATATTAAGTTGTGAACTTAGCATAATAATTACAATCTTATTTTCTTTGTTCTAGGTAATTGCTATAATTATGTAAATTTGTTTAGATATTCTATATATAAAAATATACATATTTAACATTCATAAAATCATTCTCTTAATCATTTCATTATAAAAGTTAGGCAAAAATAAACAACCAGAAGTGTTCATTGGCATTCATTGAAAACCGCCAAAAAAGAAAAGAAGAAGAAGAAGACATAAATGTCAATGTTTTTCAATCCGCGTGTAAACTGTAAATAAGTAGAATGTGTGTTTCAAAATATGATAAATCACAAATCCTATATGTAAGATTTGTATTCATGCATTCAAATTGAAGGGAGTGTATTGAATAGTAATTGCTAATATTTTAGCTGCTTATTACTACGTATAAAAATTTATACTAAATACTTTCTGCTTGAAATTCTTTTTATCGCTATTTGCTATGATAGTTTCAACAGGCGTATAAAATGATTAACTCACTACAATATTTCGACTGTTCCTCGTCATCGACATCTGACCATTAATTAACCTTGAAATTTAAAGAGATTGGTGATGGTATGAAGTGATCCACACATTAAATGCAATCACAGGCCTTATATTATACATTCCAAATTCATATAATTTTCCTTAATAAAAGTATATCAACAAAATGGACCCTTACACTTTTTATCTAAAAAAAATTAAGTATAATTTAGTTTTATAGGTCGTGATTTATTCAAACAAAAGACATTTTTGAAACTTGACATTATTTTAATAATTTATATAAAGTAATATTTAAGATTGTCATTATGTAATGAGTTAATTATTAAAATTAAACGCTTTATAATAGTAATGTTGTGACTTGAAGATGTTAATTTAGTCAGGAACACTGTCTAAGTTATAAGGCAATTTAGATTATGTATTTCCTTTCCTTACCTTCGATTGTTTGGCAGATTGTGGCCATTGCTGCGTTATCCGTGTTCCGCATGCGAATGATTTTAACGAAAATCATTTTATCGTTATAAATGTAATCTGTTATGCAACAGTAAAGGTCGTTACATAAGAAGCCGGGAAGCTGATCTCGCAAGGCAGCCCGCAGCGATCATCCGAGGAATTCATGCGGAAATCAGACCATTGATGAAATTTCCTATTTGAACAAAAAAGTGTTTAATTTTTTTTTATTATACAATGTTTTGAACGTTAAATCGTATGCCATAAGTAAATTCATAGTTGGAGTTGGGAATTTGAATTGTTTGTAACTTTGAATTCCGTGATCTATTGATCCAAAGGTGTCATCGATTTCACGTCCAGGTTACTTCGCAAATCTTGTATTTATCCCATATTCCCAAAGAGGTGTCAAGATTTTTACATTTTTTTATCATCTTAACTCTCTAAATTCCGAAATACCATGTAACTGAGAATTGTAGCTCTTTAGCTTTCTTAGATACTTTGGATCTTCGCAGTCCACATAACATCGAGAGCTATACGGTGTAAAGTGTGAAAGATTATTCATATAATCTGTTACATTAATGGCGGTTCTCACCACGATCCGTCTCAGTTAGCTAACGTGATTAAATCTTTGTTTCAGAGAGAACAGCTGCAGCATGTCCAGCTAATTCGGCATGACAACAAGCTTCGAGCACCGTACCAGCTTCACAGTGACGAGTGAAGCTACTCACTGTGTTGCGACTACCTACTGTTCTACTGTATATCAGAGGCCTCTTAAAGCAGTCCTCAATTTAAATCTTCTACAAGTCACTGGAGAAGATTAGTCAGTGGTACCATTTTTTTAAAGTGAAAAGTTGCTAAACAAGCAGACCGAAATAGGAAATGGTAAACATCTTGTCTGCGTCTTACGGCCAACGTCGACTGTGAGAAACTACTCAAAATATTAAAAATCTTTTCTTAGTTCATGCTTGCAAATTATTTATTTATTTATTTAATGTACGTCAACAAATGTACACTACTTAAGGCTAATTAATATAAAGAAATTAAATTTACATCAACTATTTGTTAGTACCATTATAATTAAAGGCGCTGTGCAAATGCAGTAGATTAGTCATTGGTACCAGCTATCAAGTCCAATATGCCTCTCTTAATTACGTGGGAGAAATTATCGTGGCTAAGGCTCTGACTTGATGGTCACTCTGTCATTTTTTTATAATTAAACATAGATACAATTAAAGCTGTGGCCGGCCAAACGCTGTTGGTGTATTTATTTACCTATCAAAGGTGTAATCCGTACGAGTACGTACAAACGCGATCTTATTCGTATTCATGTAAAGAAAAGTAAAGTAACAGCCTATATAATATGATATGTTGGCCAAAGCCTTCTGTGTTCAGAGTATATTAGGCCATAGTCCACCACGCGACCCTACTTCGGATTAGCGGACTTTCACCCATTTCTTCGACATATTTTTTTTGATTTCGAAAATATGCACGTTTCCTTACGATGTTTGCTTCGCCGCTGACAACGTGATAAGTCGGCACTTAAAGTTAACAATTTCATTGGTGCCAGCACCGGGGATTGAACTCAGGTTGCTCGAGTTTTTTTTAATTCAAAGCGAGCGCCCAGACAATGAGCTATCACGGCTCATTTTTTCGTTCATTCGTATAAAACGTTATATCGACATTTCAAAATGAGAAAATAATTACGAAGAAACCAGAAAAAATGCAATAAATACGGATACTTCCCCTCTGCCTTCTGTGAAGCAATGCTATTTTTTATTTAATCAAATAATCAAATGAAATAAAATAAATAATCAAAAAATTTTCGGCTTAAGTATGATAGTGGGTCATGACTACTCAAAAAATATTTTGTAAACAACAAAATTTTGTAACACAAAACAGTGTATTTTTAAAATAAATTTGCTCTACTCCATTCTACTTTGAAAAGTTCTAAGTAGAATGAAAGTATATATTTTCGTACATAATACTATAAGCATAAAAAATGTCGACTTACATTAATAAGCATTTGTGATATAACCGGAACAATTTATTTGCATTTTTCATTTTTATTTTGATCGGCAAATTTTATCACCGTTTGCACATATTTGTGATTGCTATTTTTTGCCGTTCTTTCTCAACTGTCCTCACTCAGCGTGTACCGAAATGACATACTGAAATATCCACCACTAGAACCACAGTAAAACTTTACATAGACTGATTTTTCTGCTTTCATACTGTTAAAGCATGAAACTCTCTTTTAAAATAGCCAAGTCCCTCGAGCTTGATACGGCCCTCCACATTGGGTAGGACTGTGCATGTGCTCATGCGTGCGCTATCTAATAGGGTACAATCCCACCTTCGATCATCGAAGTTCGGTACGGACTGTTAGTGACCAGTACGGACCTGACTCTATTGATTGTTGGCTGGAGGACACCGGGAACAACCTTGGAAAGCGGGTATACATCATGTATGCGTTATGTTGGTTTTGCCAGACTCGTAACCGAGAACGATCTATTTTTTTGTACTTGCTTTGCTTTTGATCAGGATCCCCGGTGGGTCTGGAATACTTTCCTATCCTTCCTCAGCCAGGTCGGGTTCGCTTGGTAATTTGCTGTGTTTACCTCCGAAGGATTGGGACGCATTTCGGCACTTTTTATTGTGGAAATGACATACGGACAAACAGGTGATCACTGCCACCCATGGACACTTGAAACGGGAGTAGAAGTACACAGTACAGTTGGAGAAATCACGACTGCAATGACGGCCATTGAGGTAAGAGCAGGCTCTCTTCTTGAACGTCCCTAAATCTTATAGTCCGAAGTGAGTCCTGAAGTTTCCTCAGGTGTGTTTGAGGAAATAAAAGCATAGGAAATTATGGCTCATAGGCAATCATTGAATATTATAATTTTGTGCTTTAAGAGCATAAACTTGTAGAGTTCATTAGCAGGCTGTGACTAGCATCATTATTTAATTAGATTTAATATAAACATATTTATGTTTACGAATAGTAAACGAATCGGGCAGATATGAGTTCTAAATGAGAAGAGGAAATTTATGATAACCCTATATTATTAATTCCGTACATTTCTTCTTCCGATCGCGTTCAAACCGTCACATCTATTATCCATTTTTTAAACTTTTACACACATAAAGACGAATTGATTTGGTGTAATGGAACTATTGTTATTATATTTGTTGTGTCTTTTTGTTTGGTATTTTTGAACAGTATGTGAACAAGTTGAACAGTTCACAGCTTATTCTCTAAAACGTAATGTTTCATGTGTATTCGTTCCGAATTAATCTTCAACGCCGCAACGTAACAATCACAGATAAAACGTTGGATTTCTTTTGTTTTTTATACTGTATCAATTCGTCACATTTCTCTATTGTGTTATTATACGAGGTATGATCGTGAAGTTTTTTTTCGATAGCCTTGTTCTAGATTTTTCTGGTCGGTTTTTGCTATTTGCCTCCGGTATAAAACATGGCGTTCGGTCAGTGTTGGCATAGTTTGAAATTGATCAAGCCAACTCGCAGCAAACATGCCTTCTCCATGCGAACCCTGCAAAGGTATTTTACTTTTGTTCCAATAATGCCTTTATTTTATTGTATTTTATGGTATCCAAACATTAATCTACTTATATATCTCTCCGCAGTTTTTTTAAACGTGATCTTCCACAAGATATTCTAATTTTAAATAATTTTTAATGTTCCACAGCCATTTCATAGTGACGTTTTAAAACAACTTTTTAAATGCGTACTTTTTTAATTTAATCTGTCATAAAAATTGTAACTTAATATATTTAATTTCCAGATACCTGCAAGGACGGAGCCTGCAAAGACAACTGTACTTGCAAGGACAAAGGCTGCAACGATTGCTCTTCTAAAGGTAAAGAAAGAAAACATTGAAGGACCAATTTTTGCTGACTTTCATACGAAAGTATTTTTAAAATGTAAAACGATTTGGCGTAAATAACCGAAGCACTCTCATAATTTCTTTATCATCATGGGTCATATGAAAATCTTTTGTAAAGAAATAGTGAGCCGAATAATTTGTCAGTCTAACTCTTAACCTGGTTAAAGGATATCGTTTAGATATCCCTTATATGAATCATTAGAATGAAATCATTAGTTTTAGTCCTAGTGACGTATTATGAGTTTCTTAATAACATTAGCCCATGATCATAACATGATCCCCATTTGTGACCAGTTTATTGCGAATTGCGTATGACAACAGTTTGCTACTCTGTTCTGTGAAAATAATTGCTGATTCGTATACTGGGTTCATACCTACGGAACTGAGACTGGGTTCTTCACTGTGGGCCGTATGAGTAAGCTCAAAGTCGCTCATCGAACTATGTGGTATATGCTCGATATTTCTCGGCTTGAAAGAGTTCGTAATGAAGACATCCGCAGTAGAACAAAGGTAACCGACATAGCCCACAGGATTATAAGCTGAAGTGGAAATGGGCGGCCATATAGATAACCGGTGAGGAAGAAAGCTTCTCGAGTGGCAGCCTCGTATTGACCATCGTAGTTTAGGACGACACTCTACTAGATGGAATGACAGCATGTGCAAATGTGTGGGAAGTCGATGGATGCAGGTGGCTCAGGAACATTAATATGTTGATGATACTGGAGTTAAAGAGTAAAGTCGGGGATTAAAGACGAGTAATCTCGTTCGAGTATTTAACAAATTTGTTGGATTATTCACCGTCTCTGCCAGCTTGTTTTTGAAGATATGTTCCATCATGGTAGACTTCAAGCCCGCCAAAACGCAGTGAGGCCACGTGGTGGACTATATCTAATACCCTCTGCACAGAGGAGGCCTTTACCCAGCACTGAGACAATTATAGACCGTTACTTTACTTTTCCTTCTTCGCCAGGTGGTTGCTGTTAATCCCAATCATAATGGACGCGGTGCAGCGAGCCAGCCGGCGGCGACCTTCTCTCTTCACCCGCATCACCGGAGTTCTTGAGACCTGCTTCCCTATATCCTTCACAATCGTCTTCTTAATAACAATAGTTCTGTTCTATTGC